ACTTCAACATTTGGTTCCATAATAGCAATCTTAACTTTGAAATAAAAACTCAATTATCACCAGAAAATTTCGTAAACATGATAAGAACGATAATTTGAACAACACTAGTATAACATGTAGCAATTTGGCATAGGAATGAGACAATATCAGAAAAATAGAGAAACATGGAAAAATAGGTAAATTGGCGGCGCATAGGTACTCGTCACCTCACATATACGCCGCTCATATGAATTTCACTTAGCAAATAATCTAAGGTTCCTAATTCACTCAAGTCAGGGTTAGACACAATACTTACCTCGCTCCGAAGGCCACTTAATTCTCAATCACAGCTTTTCCTTTGGAATTCACCTCCAAACCAGTCATATCTATTAAAAAATGACTTAATAATATCAAATATTGCTAAAGGAATCAATTATATTGCATAAATTAAATTTCCCAAATTTTCCTCCAAAAAGTCGAAAAATCGACCCCGGGCCTGCTTGGTCAAAGCCCGAGGTTCTGACCAAAATCCTTTTATCCATTCACCCTCGAGCCCGAATATGTAATTAGTTTTGGAATCTGGTCTCAAATTGAGGTCTAAATCCCCAAATTCCCGAAATCCCTATTTTCTACCCTAACCCCTAATTCTACCATGAAAACTCTAGATTTTAGGTTAAAAATTCAAGAAATGTAATGGGTAATTGAAAGAAAATGGTTTAGAATCACTTACCAAAAATTTTGGGAAGGAATGACTCTTGAAATATCGCCTCACACCGTTTGGTTTATGAGAAAAATGAGTTTTTGGCTAAAATCCCATTTTTGGATTCTGTTAAGTGCTGGGCGACAGTGTTCATCGCGTTCGCGAGAGCACTGTCGCATTCCCGAAGGGTACTGGCTGCCAAGCCTTCGCATTCGGGAGACACAGCTCACTTTCGCGATGGTTACTCCCCCCTGGACTTCGCGTTCGCGATGAAAGAACGTCTGACTTCCCCTCCCCAATGCCTAATACTACGCGTTCGCGATGGGCTTGTCGCGTTCGCGAAGGGTAACGCCCCTATCACTTCATGTTCGCGAAGAAGAAATCCCTGCCTCATCAGTTTACTCTTCGCGTTCGCGAGAGGACCTTTGCGAATGCGAAGAAGGACATGCCAGAACCCAGACTCTGCAGAAAAAACCAGATTTCCAAAGTCCAAAACATCCTGTGGCCTATCCGATACTCACCCGAGCCCTCGGGGCTCCAAACCAAACATGCAAACAAGTCTAAAAACATCATACGAACTTGCTTGCATGATCAAATCGCCAAAATAACACCTAGAACTCTAAATTTAGAACCAAATCAAATGAAATTTTTCAGAACACTTTAAAATTTCTATTTTCTCAACTGGACGTCCGAATCACGTCAAATCAACTCCGTTTCTCATCGAATTTCATAGACATGTCTTAAATATCATAACAAACCTGTACCGGGCTCCGAAACCAAAATACGGACCTGATACTAACAATGCCTAATACCAATCAATTCTTAAAAATAAATAATTTCCAAACTTTTAATTTTCATAAAAAAATCATAACTTGAGCTAGGGACCTCCGAATTCGATTTCGGGCATATGCCCAGGTCCCATATTTCGATACGGTCCTATCGAGATCGTCAAAACATGGATCCGGACCCGTTTACCAAAATTGTTGGCCGAGGTAAACTAAAATCAACTTTTAAGGCAAAAATTCTTATTTTCATTTGTTTTCAACATAAAAGCTTTCCGGAAACCTGCCCGGATTGCGCATGCAAATCAAGGAGGGTAAAAATGAGATTTTTAAGGCTTAAGAGCGCAGATTCGAGTTTCTAAAACATAAGATGACCTTTTGGGTCATCACACTTTTTGTCGCATCTGCGAGCCTGCAGGTGCGGAAACTTGTCACGACCCAAAATCCCACCAAAGGCGTCGTGATGACACTTAGTCTCTAAGACTATGTAAGCCAATTATAATTACAATTCAAGACATCTTTTTGTATAAACCAACATCGGAAATAATTACAAACAACCTCCCAAGACTAGTAATACTGAGTCACGAACTCTAACTAAATACATGAAATGATCTCAAGGATCGAATACTCAATACTGTTTGATTAGTAATTAACAGTACAATAAAATGGAAAGACTCCAAGGGACTGCGACAACCAAGCAGCTCTATCTTGAATCCTTATGATCACACTCTAACTATGTCCGAGTCCGATGTCTCCAATACCTGGCTCTGCACAAAAATGTGCAGAAGTGTAGTATGAGTACACCACAGTCGGTACCCAGTAAGTATCAATACTAACCTCAGTGGAGTAGTGACGAGGTACAGTCAAGACACTCACTAGTCTAATAACTTGTGTAATATAGCATACAAAAATAATAGGAAACAAATAACAATGATGGAAATAATAATCAACCAGTGATATAAACAGCAGGAAGGAAAGATAATGAATACAAGTACAACCAATTAATCAAGTCCTTCAAATATAATTCTTTCACCTAAAAATCTTTCAAATAATAATCCGTAGGATATAATACTTTCCAATAATTTTGTTTCGAATATACTTCCTTCAAATAAATATCTTTCAAATATAATTCTTTCAAATAAAATTTTGGAATATAATTCCTTCAAATAAAAGTCACCTTGTGACACCTAATTTCATATTCATAAAAATATGGGTCTCAGCCCACTTTTATATTTTCACGGCACCTCACGCCCATGTTTCTATCACAACTGCACGGACAACTCACATGCCAAAAATATTAATATATAAAAGTATCTGCTCGATCAATTTACTTTAGAAATAGTTTGAGTGAAGAAAATGGCATTTGCACTTAAATTAAAGCATCAAATAAACTATTGATTTGGATGTAATATTTATTAATTTAAAACATAATAGAAATTTTCTTTTATTTAAAAACATTCAGGCATAAAAAATCAGTAAAAACCAGAAATATAAATCTTCAGAGTCTCGTACTAAAAAGCCAAAACCAACACAATTCAATAAGGAGCACAAAACACATAATAATAAAGTAAACTAGTACATCACCGAAGAAGACAAGAATTTACGTATCACGAAAAAATAAAATAACCAAAGGCAAGTGCATCCATAGAAAAATATCATCAAAAGGGCACTCCCGAGGTACCGCCTCGTAGTCCCAAAAGTAAATATGCAAGACAGGGGGATCTCCCGAGGTACCGCCTCGTAGTCCCAAAAGTAAATATGCAAGAGAGGGGGATCTCCCGGAATACCGTTTCGTAGTCCCAAAGTAAATATGCAGGACAAGGGGATCTCCCGGAATACCGTTCCGTAGTCCCAAAGCAAATATGCAAGACATGGGGGATCTCCCGGAATACCGTTCCGTAGTCCCAAAGTAAATATGCAGGGGGATCTCCCGAAATACCGTTCCGTAGTCCCAAAGTAAATATGATTTCAACAACTGCACATCAAGTGCTCACATATCACAAATGGCTCATCAAGTGCTCAAATATTACTAACATATCATAAATTTCAACAATATATTATTTTTTCCACAATAAGAAGCCCACGGCTCGGCCATAATGAGCACAACATCTTAACAAAATATTCGGGAGTGAACAACTAAACCGAATAATAGTTCACAATTTGGCACTTTACCTCAATATGATTCACGACCTTTTGTGATGACCCAAAAGATCATCTTATGTTTTAGAACTCAAATTTGCGCTCTTAAGCCTTATTAGAGCCTCAGATAGAGCTTGACGAGAAGGTTCCAGCCCAGACTGTTCCTGCCGGACCAGCTCAGGTTCCGGAGGGGTTCATTACCACCCCAGTACTTCAGGACGCTTTGGTCCGTTTGGTGGGCCTTATGGAGAGTGTGGCCCAGACTGGCGCATTTCCCATGGCACCAGCAGTCTCTCAGGCTAGAGTAGGAGCCCAGACTCCCACCACTCCTGCTCCGGAACAGATAGCTCCCAAGTATCAAGCTCCAGCAGCTTAGCCAGTCAGATTAGTTCAGCGGGTTATTGCGGCATAGGTCGGAGATGGGCCAGCTATGTCTTCTGAGGCTTTATGGATATTGGACAGGTTTACCAACCTCTTTCTTGTTCACTTCAGTGGTGATCCTTCAGAGGATTCCCAGGAGTATCTTGACAGCTGCCACGAGGTTCTACGAAACATAGGTATAGTGGAGACCAATGGGGTCAATTTTGCTGCATTTCAGATGACTCGTTCCGCCAAGAAATGGTAGAGAGATAACTTGTTGACCAGACCAGCTGGGTCGCCTGCTCTTACTTGGACCAGTTCTCTCAGCTGTTCATAGAGAAGTTTCTGCCTATTACATTGAGAGAGGAGCGTTGCCGTCAGTTTGAGCGTCTTCAGCAGGGCAGTATGACTATTACTCAGTATGAGACACGTTTTGTGGATTTGGCCCGTCATGCTATTCTTCTTCTTCCCACCGAGAGAGAGAGGGTGAGGAGGTTTATTGATGGACTTGCTCAGCCTATCATATTGCAGATGGCTAAGGAGACTGGGAGTGAGATTTCTTTTCAGGAGGCTGCTAATGTCGCCAGACGAGTTGAAATGGTTCTTACTCAGGGAGGTCAGGGGTCTGACAAGAGACCTCATCGTTCCGGTGAGTTCAGCGGTGACTCATCTAGAGGCAGAAGTACTTTTGGTAGAGGCCATCCTCCCAGGCCGTNATTCTGGTGAGTTCAGCGATGCCTCATCTAGAGGCAGGAGTACTTTTGGTAGAGGCCATCCTCCCAGGCCATTTCATTTAGCGCTCCATGTATCCCACGGTGCCTCAGGTGGTCGTGGCCCTCAGATGCATTATTCCGACCAATTAGCCTACGGTGCACCACCAGCTTCTATTAGTGCACCTCCATTCCAGAGTTATCAGGGTGGTTATTCGGGTCGATAGGGTCAGTTTTAGGGTCAGCAGTTATAGCAGCCGAGCTTATGTTATACTTGTGGTGATCCGAGGCACATTGCTAGATTTTGCCATTGGGCAACGGGCAGCTCACAGCAACAGAGTTCTCGTTCCATGGTTCCGGCACCAGTTGCTGCACCACCTGCTCAGCCATCCAGAGGAAGGGGTCAAGTAGCCAGAGGTAGAGGCCAGGCTGTTAGAGGTGGAGGTCAGGCCATTAGAGGTGGAGACCAGCCAGCAAGAGGCCATTCCAGGGACGTAGTTTAGGGTGGTAGGGCCCAATCTCGGTGTTATGCTTTACCAGCCAGACCTAAGGCTGAGTCATCTCACGCTGTTATCATAGGTACTGTTTCAGTTTGCAGTAGAGATGCTTTAGTTCTATTTGATCCGGGATCTACTTACTCCTATGTGTCATCCTATTTTGCTTCCTATTTGGTTGTGCCTCGTGATTCTTTGAGTGCTCCTATGTATGTGTCCACACCAGTGGGAGATGCTATTGTTGTAGATCGTGTTTATCATTCATGTGTGGTCACCATTGGGAGTCTTGAGACTTGTGTAGATCTTTTACTTCTTGACATGGTTGATTTTGATGTCATACTAGGTATGGATTGGCTGTCACCTTATCATGCTATATTAGACTGTCACGCCAAGACGGTGACCTTAGCCTTGCTGGGGTTGCCTCGATTAGAGTGGAGGGGAAATCTTGGCCATTCTGCTAACATGGTTATCTCTTATGTGAAGGCTCGGCATATGGTCGAGAAGGGGTGTCTAGCTTATTTGGCTTATGTCCGCGATTCTAGTGCGGAGGTTCCTTCCATGGATTCGGTGCCGGTTGTTCTTGAGTTTCCAGAGGTGTTTCCTACAGACCTGCTGGGGATGCCACCCGACAGGGATATTGATTTATGCATTGATTTGGATCTAGGCACTCAGCCTATTTCCATTCCGCCATATCGCATGGTCCCACCAGAGTTAAAAGAATTGAAGGAGCAGTTGCAAGATTTGCTTGATAAGGGCTTCATTAGACCTAGTGTCTCGCCCTGGGGTACACCTGTGTTGTTTGTGAAGAAGAAAGATGGATCGATGAGGATGTGTATAGATTATCAGAAGTTGAACAAATTCACCATCAAGAACAAATATCCATTGCCGAGGATTGATGATTTATTTGATCAGCTTTAGGGTGCCAAGGTGTTTTCGAAGATTGATTTGAGATTTGGCTACCATTAGTTGAGGATTAGGGCATCCGATGTTCCTAAGACAGCTTTTCGGACTTGGTATGGGCATTATGAGTTTCTAGTGATGTCATTTGGGCTGACAAATGCCCCAACAACATTCATGGATTTGATGAATCGGGTGTTCAAACCCTACTTGGATTTCTTTGTGGTTGTGTTTATTGATGATATCTTGATCTACTCCCACAGTCGAGAGGAGCATGAGCAGCACCTTCAGATCGTTCTTCAGAATTTGAAAGACATCCAGTTTCTTTCTTGGGTCACGTTGTATCAGCAGAGGGTATTCAAGTGGATCCTAAGAAGATTGAGGCAGTCCAGAATTGGCCTAGACCCACATCAATTATAGAGATCTGTAGTTTCCTGGGTTTGGCGGGCTATTGCCGTCGATTATGAAGGGGATTTCATCCAGAGCAGCCTCGTTGACCAGATTGACCCTGAAGGGTGCCCCGTTCAGGTGGTCAGACGACACCGGTGTTGGTGTTACCCATAGGTTCAGGATCTTATACAGTATGTTGTGATGCATCTCGTATTGGTCTGGGTGCGGTATTGATGCAGGGTGGCAAGGTTATTGCATATGCTTCACGGCACCTGAAGGTTCACGAGAAGAATTACCCTGTTCATGATCTAGAGCTGGCAGCCATTGTTCACACGCTGAAGATTTGGAGGCACTACCTTTACGGTGTGCCATGTGAAGTATTCACTGATCATCAGAGCTTTCAATATTTGTTCAAGCAGAAGGAACTCAATTTGAGGCAGATGAGGTGGCTGGAGCTATTGAAAGACTATGATATCACCATATTGTATCATCCCGGGAAGGCCAATGTGGTGGCCGATGCTTTGAGTAGAAAGTCAGTTAGTACGGGTAGCCTTGCATATATTCCAGTTGGTGAGAGACCACTTGCATTGGATGTTTAGGCCTTGGCCAACCAGTTCGTGAGGTTAGATGTTTCTGAGCCCAGCCGCGTTCTAGCTTGTACAGTTGCTCGGTCTTCTTTGTTTGAGCACATCAGAGATCGGCAGGATGACGACCCTCATTTACTTGTCCTTAGAGACACAGTGCAGCAAGGTGATGCCAAGCAGGTTACTGTTGGAGATGACGGAGTTTTGAGGATGCAGGGTCATATTTGTGTGCCTAATATGGATGGACTTCGTGAGTTGATCCTTGAAGAGTCCCATAGTTCCTGGTATTCTATTCATCCGAGCACCGCCAAGATGTATCAGGACTTGAGGCAGCATTATAGGTGGAGGTGAATGAAGAAGGACATAGTTGCATATGTAGCTCAGTGCCTAAATTGCCAGCAGGTAAAGTGTGAGCATCAGAGACCTGGTGGTTTACTTCAGAGGTTAGAACTTCCTGAATGGCAGTGGGAGCGTATCACTATGGATTTTGTTGTTGTACTCCCACGGACTCAGAGGAAGTTCGATGCAGTTTGGGTCATTGTGGACAGGCTGACTAAGTAAGCACATTTCATTCCTGTGGCAGTTACCTATTCCTCAGAGCGGTTGGCTGAGATTTACATTCGTGAGATCGTCCGTCTTCACGGTGTGCCAGTGTCTATCATTTCTGATCGAGGTGCGCAGTTTACCTCACACTTTTGGAGGGCAGTTCAGCGTGAGTTGGGTACTCGGGTTGAGTTGAGCATAATATTTCATCCTCAGATGGACGGACAGTCCGAGCATACTATTCAAATCTTGTAGGATATGCTCTGCGCTTTTGTTATAGACTTCGGAGGATCGTGGGATCAGTTCTTGTCCATTGCAGAGTTCGCCTACAACAACAGCTACCAGTCGAGCATTCAGATGGCTCCCTATGAGGTATTATATGGTAGGCGTTGTCGGTCGCTAGTTGGGTGGTTCGAGCCGGGAGAGGCTCAGTTGTTGGGCACATACTTAGTACATGATGCCTTGGATAAGGTCAAGATTATACAGGATCGACTTCACACAGCTCAGTCCAGGCTGAAGAGTTATGCCGACCGTAGAGTTCATGATGTTGCATTCATGGTCGGAGAGAGAGTGTTACTTCGGGTATCACCCATGAAGGATGTAATGAGGTTCAGAAAGAAGGGTAAGTTGAGCCCTAGGTATATTGGACCTTTTGAGATTCTGGAGAGAGCGGGAGAGATGGCTTACAGGCTTGCGTTGCCACCTAGTTTAGCAGCTGTTCATCCGGTATTCCATGTGTCAATGCTTCGAAAGTATCAGGGCGATCCTTCCCATATGTTAGATTTCAGCTCTATCTAGTTGGACAAGGATTTAACTTACGAGGAAGAGCCGGTGGCCATTCTAGCCCGGCAAGTTCGCCAGTTAAGATCAAAGAGTTACCCTTCAGTTCGAGTGCAGTGGAGAGGTCAGCCTATTGAGGCAGCTACTTGGAATTCCGGGTCCGATATGCATAGTAGATATCCACACCTTTTCACCATCCCAGGTACTTTTCTATGTCCGTTCGAGGACGAACGGTTGCTTTAGAGGTGGAGATTGTGATGACCCAAAAGGTCATCTTATATTTTAGAACTTGAGTCTGCGCTCTAAGCCTTACAAATCTCATTTTTACCCTCCTCGATTTGTGTGCGCAGTCTGGGCAGGTTTCCAGAAAGCTTTATGTTGAAATTATTGAAAATAAGAATATTTGCCTTAAAAATTGATTTTAGTTGACTTCGGTCAACATTTTTGGTAAACTGGCCCGGATCCGTATTTTGACAGTCCCGGTGGGTCCGTATCGAATTATGGGACCTGGGCGTATGCCCGGAATCGAATTTGGAGTTCCCTAGCTCAAGTTATGAATTTTTGATGAAAATTAAAAGTTTGGAAATTATTTGTTTTTAAGAATTGATTGATATTCGGCATTATTAGTATCGGGTCTGTATTTTGGTTCAGGAGCCTGGTACATGTTCGTTATTATATTTAAGACCTGTCTGTGAAATTTGGTGAGAAATAGAGTTGATGTGACGTGATTCGGACGTCCAGTTGAGAAAATAGAAATTTTAAAGTGTTCTTGAGAATTTCATATGATTTGGTGCTAAATTCGTAGTTCTAGGTGTTATTTTAGCGATGTGATCGCGCGAGCAGGTCCGTATGATGCTTTTAGACTTGTGTGCATTTTTGGTTTGGAGCCTCGAGGGCTCGGGTGAGTTTCGGATAGGCCACGGGATGTTTTGGACTTTGGAAATCTGTTGTTTTCTGCAGAGTCTGTGTTCTGGCATGTCCTTTTTCACGTTTGCGAAGCCACTCTCGCCAACGCAAAGGGAAATTTGTCAGCTGAGGTTTTCTTCTTCGCTAACGCGAAGGCCTGGTCACGAACGTGAAGTGATGGGGGACTTACCCTTCGTGAACGCAACTGGCTCAACGCGAACGCGGAGCATGTGTGGACC